ATTTACTGATATCGGTACTTATCCTAAATTAATATTTTAGGTAGGTACCTACATCGTAAACTATGTATTATATAACAGTACAATGTACAACATATTATGTATAGACGTATCACGTACCTATCGTATAACTTACGTTTAAACGTCGATTCGTATTATTTCTCGTAAAATTTGCACATCCATTCCAAATTCCAATGTACATCATGAACTTAACATAGATAATAGATAATGATAATTATTTCTACTTTTATTTGTTCTAAACATTCTTATCGTTGCTAATTAAAATTCAACCAAATTAACATTCCTAAAACACATCAAAATACATTATAAAATTATTATTATTATTTTATGATTATACATTATAAAAGAGATATTGAATTGTACATATTATAATATAAAGTCGTACAGGAATGAAGACAATAAAGTTGATGTCTTTAGGTATATATATTATGGTACGCGATCTCTTAACGAATCGAGCAACTATTTTCTACTTAAGTTCAGTAAAAATAACCATCAGTAAATCAAATTATCAAATACAATATAATTATTCACATAAATATTCAGTAAATACCAAATCGATTCAAAATAATAATATAYTCCTAATTCAATTAACAATTCACATAATTTTAACATAAAAAAAGCTGGTAAGTGAATATGCTCTGCTGTACATTAGGTTACAAGTGGATTACTTTAATAGTTTAATGGATGGTATTTAAATTTGAATTCAATGATATATAATATCATTGTATACGAAAAACTAAACTGAACGGAGACGGTTTGTCAGTCTATGATATTTTATACCATATTAATTATATTGTTAATTTAAAAAAAAAAAATGTATGTACCTAGTTACCTACCAATAAAATAAATCAAATCAGATTCTTTGATTCTTTATGTACCTGACTCACTCGGTCATTCATAGTATATACAATATAGAATGCACTTTAAGGTATTATTATAATTCATTAACGGAATAATATTTTTAGATTCTAACAATTTAACCAAAATTGTTATTCACCTCTTGGTTATATTTAATAACCAAATTTGAACTTAAAATAACTGTAACAAAAAAACTGTGTATTTACAAATATTAGATTTCTTGTTGCAAAATTAACTWCTGACCTGGAACCTTGATTTAAATTTTCAATCCTTTGCTATACAAGTTTAAACTGTTATACATTTATAACAACTATATAATTTTTCGATTTTCAATTTAATAAATTTTGTCAACATTTAAACTTTAAACGGTTGTAAAAAAACGTGCCAATGTATTTTTAATATTTTCCAACTACTATTATWTCATCTTATGAGGAACCTTGCATTAAATTTTCAAGTTTTTTTACCCAATGAATTAAATTTATAGAAATTTATAGAATAAAAAACTAAAAAGACGGAAAAATTTCAAATGTCTATTAATAAGTATTTTTTAAATTAAGTATATAGGAATTGATTTAATAAACAAATAGTGTAAATTTCAAGTTTCTACAGTTATTTGTTTTTAAATAACAACAATATAAGAATATCGACACAAGAGAAATCGAGTACCGCCTATACCTAAATTGTAAAAATTTTAATTCAAATGCTCATAAAAATTTAATATGACTTTCCGGT